CATTCGGCATGACGTCACTCTACTGATGGACTTGGTATGTGCCCCTCGGTGAGGCAGCTTCTTGAGGAACAATGCAAAGCCCCTTGTACCCGTATGCCACTCTCGAATAGTCGTAGCATCCTGTGTAGTATAAAATCTGTCGTAGTTCTCCCCAAAAATAAAAGAGCTGTTCCCCCCCCCCCTCGAGTTCAGAGCTCATAAGTCGAGTTCGCCCCGCGTCTAAGCTTTCAACTGCGTCACTTCGTCCCTCGCCACGTAACTTTGAAACCTCGTCCACTGCGTTTACTCGTCGATACCGTCTCGACGAACCCTTCGACTTCGACTATTGTCGAAGAAACTGCTAACCGCGCCCTAGCTAAGTACACCCTATCGAATCGTGTCCCTTCTCTCTACGATACATCAAAGAGCTCTGCCGAGCTTCGATCGTCGCTAACTTTCCACAGCTTCCAAGTAGCTTCGACGACGTGTCAAAGCCACCTCGTACCTACCCGTTTGTTCGTAACCTTTCCCAAGGGCGTTTCTCATGTTCACTCGAACCGCGGGACACCTTGCTGCTAACTCCCCTCTCACTAGACTATAATCCGTCTCTCTAGTCCCTTTAGGTCGCACCCAGGTTAGGGGTTAGGGTTTCATAGGTCGTATCATTTCTGGAGCCCACCGCGAGGGGATTTCAGGCAAGAATTCGCCGCTTTTGGGTTTCCGAAAACGTCTCCAGTAGTCACCCGCTCGCAAGCGCGTGAGGCTGCTAGCCGCAGCGCCACCGAGAACCTCGACAGCTCCTCTCGAACACATTCAACCCCCTCTCCAACAATCCCCGGTGACTTCGACCGCGACGAAGAAGACGAGATAGACCAAGAACTCCAGGACGACTTCGACGAAGAACCAATCCCTTCGACCGCCGAAGAACACACTTCATCCCCCGAGCTTCTAGGCCTCACTACTTCCGACTACGACTTTTCGACTCCTGATCTTTTTGAACGATCCAGTTCTTCGCCCAAACCCGAGGATCCCATCCCAGCTACTTCGAATCTCGTACTTCCGACTCCGTCTTCTTTTCGCGCCCACGCTCAGCCGCCCATCGCATCCTCTTCGCGACTCTCAGTCATACCTACATCCGACCTGGCACCTCCGCCACTATTGGCACCTTCGAACGCAGCTTCGAACTCCAACCCCGCACCGCCCGCACCTACGATTCCTTCAACTACTACCGCGTCCTCTTCGAGCCCCGCTCCTACTAACACCACGAACATGAGTCAGAACACGAACACACCATTGATGCCCCCGCGCGGTCATTCGACGGCACCAAGCTTCGACCCATCGGAAGTCCGTTCGCTTCGGTGTTACTTCCAGGACCTCGAAGCATTGTTCACCCGGTGTTAGATTACCGACAAAGCAGCCAAGAAACAGTGGGCCGTTCGGTACCCTTCGATCGACGTCGCTGACTTATGGGAAACCATTGAGTCCTTCATCGACGTAGCCAAGAGCTACAACAACTGGAAAGCCGATATACGAGCACTCTATCCTGGCGCCGACGATACAAGAAAGTGGTCGCTGGCGGACATGGATCAGCTCATCGGTGTCGCGACTTGAGGTCAAGCGACTGAGGAAAACTTGAATGCTGGGGGCGTCCGACTAAGTCTCACCGAAGCGATGGTGAGCTATGCTCAAACCTAAGGCTAGGGACAAGAATGTATTAGTTAGTAAGTAAAAGAAGTAAGTACAGGAGGGCTTACTGACCTAGGGACAAGAGGTCGAAACTGAGGTCCCTAGGGCAGCAGAGGCTGGTTTATATACATGGGAAGATTTAGGGCAGGCTGTGCGCGTTGGTCCGTGCGCAGCTGGTCTGTGCGCAGCATGCCGACGCGGCCCCGGGGGCCGGTGAGTCAGAGCGGCTGCGTCAGCGGGGCCCGAGCTGTGCCGTGCACTGCCGTCCTATCTAATCTGATCGTACAGTAGATAATGATGTGTCCGTATCGGGCAAGTAGTACAGAGGTTGCGGGTTCGAGCCCGCGAAAAGGAAAAAATTAAAAAACGGCTAGGCGCCGTACCAACTCGTGACATTACCCCCCTCTCAACGGCGCATGACCTCATGCGAGGCGCCCTTGCCCATTTCCCACCCAGAGCGGCA